CACATCATCCATCTGCATCATCCATCAAACTGTGGAGCATGCACAGAGCGCCTCGGCCAGTTTAGCTCTGATTGACTACAGGCAGGAGTAATGGGACTCCCAATCACATTAGCTGGGTGTGTTAAGTGCAACACATACCGACGCCATACGCCGTGCGTCAAAACGCCCGCCTCCATTATATTCTATGAACAAACCCACACCGGCGCCGGTGTTCTGACGATTTCTGCTGCTTTGTCGAAAATTGCTACCGCTGCATAAACCGATGGGTCTGTCTATCGATTCACGCTACTCTATCAAAAAATGCTACTTTATGGTTTTCTATCTGTATATACAATAAAGGCATAAAATAAGTATTTTCTTTTCTCATTTGTCTAATGTACAAAAAGTGTCATGAAATTAATATTTCACGGGTAGTGTATTTTGATGGATGAAACACTTGGCATCAAATAATGCTCCCACTAATCAATGCATTCATGTAAGACTACTAATTACCTCACTGCCAATGTAGGATTAATGGCAGAATATTTAGACATACCATTTTAACATTTTTAATCAATATTTCAGGGGTAGCATATTTTGATAGTCCAATACCACCCTATCAAATAATGCTCCCACTACTCAATGCATTCATGTAAAACTACGAATCACCTCACTGCCACTGTAGGATTAATGGCAGCATATTACATGCTAACTTAACTTCTTAAATAGGCCAAAAGCGCAAAGAAAATGGATTTTGAGGATGTTACTCACCGTTAACAACAGCGTGGACTGACGAGTAGCAAAAATTTATGGGCGTGGAAACGAAACTTGGAAAATCGGCTCTGCGCATGCGCAGAACCACAAAGCAGCACTTCGACAGGTAGGGGAAATCGACAGAACACTGGCCGACACGCCGCACGGCTCTGCTTCAGCCCACTGCTCTATTTCCAGCTCGGCCGGCGCTGCGAGAAAAGCCTTTCATGTGTCGGCTGCCGTAGTTTCATTTGCAGCTTTTCAAAGGGGTATCTGGATGCTTAACGTTTTTCAAATTTTTTTGATAAGAAACTCACCCATGAAAGCCAAGTTGTTGTTGCCTCAAAGTTTTTCCTCTTCTTCTTCCGTTACTAGCAGCTGTCAACCATTGGCAACTTGTGTTGGTACAGCCACCTAGTGGGCTGGGGTGGGAAATACACTTTAGTGTCGACGGTGCTTCGGTGCGCTGCGCGCCACTGCCAATGTGTGTTGGGGGCGGCACTTGACGGCCACAGCACCGCGCCGGCGGCACTGTGTGTTGCACTTTAGTCCGACTAACTTGTATACCTGTATTTCAAAAAGTTCTGTTTTAGTCTAACTACCACAATGAATTAGGGATGCAAATTATAGATTAATTCATTAATCGATAGTTGTTTCATCTTATCGATCGATGATCGATTAATTGATAAGCGGCGATTTTCCTGAGAAGCTGAATTTCCGTCTGAATCAATAGGCTCTATCTACATAAAAAGCTATATCTTCCTTATGATATACAGAAAAAATGCAAATCAAATGCAAATATTCCTTAATCAAAGATTTATTTTGGGATATATTTGGGATACACTTGAGGGCAGGCAATAGCATTTTGGTAGCATATCAAAGATATTCTGAACGATAAATATCAAAATATTATGCAGGCTACTTAACATGAAAATAAATTGAGCATTCTCTCATCTGTGACATGGGAAACATTAAGTAAGGGATAATGTATAGTGAGCCGGTGACTGTTGAAAAATAACTCCCAACTCCCTGAAGGGAGTTATTTTTCAACTGTCACAGGCTCACTATACATTATCCCCACTTAGAACATGGCTTAGTACTAAAACATTCAGTGATGTGACACAAAATAATGATTAAAGCACATTTTATTGATTCAAAATTAGCAAAAAAAAATGTGTCTGTACATGGCAACGGCAGCCTAATGATAATATTGAATTCACCCTTCGCTAAGGCCCACCCCCCTTAGTTACTGTTGCTAAGTCCAACAAACATTCGGTTTCGGAGCTAGACTGGCATGGCACTCCCACTGTCGCTAACTGCACTCCATGGAGAAATACTCTCAAATTTCTACAACATGCATTTGAAGGATATATTCAGGATATCAGACACCCCCATGCCGTTCCCAGCACAGACACACAGCTGGTTGAATATCAGCAAAGTTTCCCTGCTTCCCTTCACTGGTTCCTGTACAGCAGGGTCGGCCTTTTTTCACTTTTACAATCATTAAAACGAAATTGTGGAATTGTTGTAGTTTAAAATACTACCACATATTGTGCATTTGGCGTCTTTGTCGTCATTAAACAACTTAAAATGACTCCACACTGCACTATGTCTTGTCCGCTTCATCATGCCGCTTCGTGATTATGTTGTTCTCGTCAGAGCCCTGCTTCTCGTGTGTTCTCGCGTGTGCGTCAAGTACATCTGGCGTCAAGAGTGCCCTCACGTGGACTGGCGGGGAATTACGGGTTTAAAAACGCAATTAATTGCAATTAATTTATTTTAATCGAGTAATTTATTATCGACAATTAATCGATAATCGATTAATTGTTTGGATCCCTACAATGAATCAATATCTCTAATGTCATGGAAACATACTGACAGAGATGCCGATTTGCAGTGGACTAATTTTATCACATAACCTATGAATTTGCCCAAAAAAACGTAGGAACGTTGCGGTGGATTTTTTACTTAAAAAGTTATGGACATGGCAGATTTGCATGGGATTAAGATCACAGAAGGCACCAGTAATTATCACAAAGTACAAGAGGTCCGTAGGAAATACTAGCTCTGCGTGAGTAGGGCTAAAGATGGAGCTGCTTTGAGCATTTGGCACTATTGTTGTTAAAATACTATTGTGTCTATAAAAGAAACTCTATTATTAGTCTTTGTTATATAACAACTGAAGGCAAGCCATTCACAGCACACATCATGTTTTAGAAGCTCTTGGATATTAAAAATCATGTAGTGAGCATATACAAAGCATAATTTGGAGAAGCGTTAACAAGACAAATTTCCATCTTTGAAAATTGTGAGAGGTTTAATTCAGTTTGTTATTCTGACTGAGTTCTTCTTCTGAAAATTAAGAGTAAACAGCCATATGCACTGTAAAAGCAACTAGATTCATTGACATGCACCAGTTGCTCTTCCCCTAGCACACAGCTTTCTGCCTGTTGACAGGTTAAGTAAACAAGAACATGGAGAACTCACTGCAAAATAAACTGAGCATGAGGTTGCTGTGAAGCATGAGCATGTCCAACACACAGACAGGCTGAAGACTGTAGGCTGACTGACTGACTGACCGGTCAGGAAACACATCTACTGTACCTGTAACCACATAATGATCAAAATTAACAGTACAAGTGCTCTTCCAAAACACTTTCAGACTGTGACTTGAGAGGTGTTTTGCTGACTAATTTGTTAAAAAAAAACTGCCCCTGTGCTTTTGCTTAAATCTTAAAAAGTTCTGCTTTGAAATTAGTTATATTACATGCAGTGCCAAGGCTTCAGACATGTGTCTTGAATTCCAGTTTTCTGTGAGGTACAGATCAGGGCTGGTCTTGTGACATCACTGATGATGCCCACAGCCATTGACCAGTTGACAAATTGTTGTTTCTAACTAAAAGCAAATCAAATCTTGCCTCTACATCATTTTCCTAGTTACACAAGCAGTCATTGTCCTCTGTCTGATTAAACTGTCACTTTCTAGTTTTAGAACACTAATATTTCCCCCCCTGCCATTATTGTATTATGATACATCTATTTACCAAAGGACTGACACACATTTGATGCATTACTTTTTCGTTTTACAATTGACAGTCATTATTCCCAAGTCTTTAGTGGCACAAGCTACAGTATTTCACAGATCACATGGTTGAGATCATCTGTAATATTTATCTGTCTGTTTTACCCTCTTTGACAACAAAGTAGTTTTGTGTGTGCTGTCCCCCAAAATGATCCCCTTCTGCAAACCAATTTGCTGGAAAGCTTCAATGCTTCATGAAGCTTCACCTCACATCACTATTTAAAAAATATGCAAAGCAATAAATGAACAAAGCCAAGAGGTGCAGATGAAGTGCTGGACCTAGTTTTTTACTGAGCTGGAATAATATTAGCTACAGTCACAGTGACTGGAATATTACCACACTGACCGGTCAGTTCCTCTGATGCATCACATCAATTGTTTTCTGTACTGGTTTATATAAAATAAGTGTGTTGTACAGTGGCGTAAGGTGGTTAGGACGGGCTCCAGTGCACACTGTTGTGATGGGCCCAAATGCACACTAGTTACTAGTTATAGGCGCACACACACACACACACTACTGGCAACTATACAAAATCTAAAGGAATATAATTTAAGGAGCTTTGCGACTTTCCCTCCTGTTTGTTTCTCTCTTGTCCTTTCTTACTGCCGCTTTTCTGTTTAAAAAGCATTACTGCTTGCTGGGTTTGCAGATATGCTCAGCTTGCCTAAACTAATTTACGATATCATATCGTCTTGTCACATGATAAAATAGAGACTTGACATTAGTCGACATCAACATATATGTTACCCAACAATCACCACTGCATATCTGTATATGACAAAAATATCAAGAGATTAAGAAATTATTCATATATATGTGTGTGTGTGTGTGTGTAGAAATAGATATATAGAATGTCACTGACTATTTTATCCAATCTATATACACCTGTGTCTGTGTGTGTGTGTGTGTGTGTGTGTGGGGGTAGATTGTAGTCAAATGTTTATGTTTGCCTTGTTCAACTTTGCTGTTCTTGTGTTTAACTGTTATGCGAGCAACAGTCAAATTCAAATTCCTTATGTCAAATTCTTTGTATATGTCCACATACTTGACCAATAAAACTGATTCTGATCATGATTAACACGAGTAAAGCCTATCATACTCATTATGGAAATTCATTAGTATTAATAATAAAAGTATTCAAAATGAATAGAAATGTATGTGTGTAGAAGTATGTCCTTCTCCAACCTTTAATCTTGACCGTAGGGGAGTTGGGTCCAGCGGACTGCTTCCTCCATCCCCTCCAGTTTTGACAGAGGCTCTCGGCCTCTGAAATGAAGGAGCACAGAGAGTCTTCCTCGAACCGGTCCGAGTCTTCGAAGGAGAACCTCTCCCCATCCTCCCACTCGGCAAACATCAGTTCCATTACATCCACTTTTTAAATGCCTTGAAGTCCAGGCGACTGCAACTTGGGGCCACGGCCTTTCTACAGTCTAAAAATCAAGGGGAAACTCTGCGGACAGAGTCCAACACTCGGGGAGAATCAAGACTCAAGACTGGGGGAGGGGAGGCCACTAGTAACCAAAACACAGCTGAGAGGCTTACCGCTGGGCCCTCACATACAGCTACATAATACTAGCTGACAATGCAGTGGGCTCCTTTAAATAGCCTGTTGCAACATATATATACACGGCAAAACTACAATTAAAAAGTATCTTTACGTCGCTTCTCCCATATTTAGAGCTGGTCACTCAGGCTATATATTCAAATTAAACTATTAGTCATTTAGATCGATGAAATAATTCACTCCATGCTGCCTGGCTGAAAGTTGGCTCTCTTTTAACAGAAGGCCCTGTCTCTATTTGAGTGTACTATTGTCGACTGCTGCCGCTGAGAGGACAAACGAGCCAAAAGTATCGTTACTGTCTAGCAGAACTAGGAGTTTTCAATGCAAAGCTGAAAATGCAAAGCCCACTATGAGGCTAAGTACGATAATACGCCATATGGAGTTACAACAACGCTGGCAAGAGGCTCGCAATGTGATATAATCTTTAAGAAGTCACCAAGTTGTTTTCCTTCATCCCGGCGTCCTCGTCTTTTCTGCCAATAAACTGGACTACAATGGATATCTGAGCCATCAATTGTAACGTTAACTGTTATAACAGTCCCGAAAGTGCTCGATCACTTTCATCGCAAAATATTTTAAACGAGTCGATGTCCAAAAACATACGTTACGTTAGCGTTGGTACTGCCAAGTGTCTTATTTGTTCTGTATTTAGTGTGCTAGTTAAATGTAGTCATGTTGTATTGCTAATGCAAGTAACATTTAGCAACGTTAGCTGAAAGGCTAATTACGCAAATAACTACATAGTGAGATAACACAAACAGCTGTCATCTGCTGCCGACGACTATATTGAGGTTAAATTTGGTTTTGAACCCAACGACAGGTTTGTTCAGGTCTGTTTACCTTCGTTCTGTTTCGGTACAACTACCTTTCATTAGCTAACGTTATATGTATTAGCACTAGCAAGCTAACCCCCAAACGGCTAACTTCAGCTAGCTTGAATAACTTAGCTGTTTGTTTACATTTACTATTGATGATTTACATTTATCGTTCTGTAAGGACTAACGTTACATGCTTATTTCGATCGCACCTTTTCAGGACTTTTGCATTTTCCTACGTTACATACGGTTCACATCTCGAAAATACCCCCCCCCCCCCCCCCCCCCCCCCCCCCCCCCAGCTCAATGTTTTCCTTTCTTTGTATTAGTTTAAGAGCCTCCTCTCTCGGTAAGGCTGGTATATTCCTCAGTCAGCTCTGGTGCAGAAATCCCGGTGAGTCCTTCAGATAAGTTAGGGTTCCTCCCGACTGACACCGGTTGTGCTGGCGTCTTATAATCGTCTCTGCCTCCAAATGACAACGGGATTCCCAGATGATTTCTCGTATCCCTCTCGTCCAGGCTCTGTTAGTGTGGATCAGTCTGCCTGCCGGGGGAAGATGGCTCACCTCTCTAGCAGCTCCTCCACCATCAGCTGATCACAGCTTCCGGCTGCCAACTCTACACAGGCAGTAGCTCAATTCGAATGGGAAAGAGTGCCGTCAGGTGAGGTGTCAACAAATCGAATATACTCAAGTATAGTGCCATGTAGAGCTCACTGACAGTTGAAATATGATACCGCGCGTTTAGATTCTTGACTCTTCATTACTCCATAAATAACTCGTAATCCCCGAACGTGACCTCAACAGCCTCTGGCCACTTTACCAGGGGCACACTGCATGAACGTGTCCTGTTGTTGTAATTATGGTGAGTATGGACCATAGTTATTTCAGCAGTGGTGAAAGAACTTTGTAAATCCTTAACTAAATTAAAAGTAGCTATACCATACTGTAATCAATAGGGGCAAGCGGAGATATTAGGTTCGTTCCAGATGAGTCAGTCCTGCGCAGATTCGATCACCGGCGATCGTCGCACAATGCATGCCGGTTAGTTTTGTGCCCGACTTCAGCCCGACTTGCTCTGACGTATTACAAAAGTGGACTTCGATAAAACCGCGAGAGCGAGGCGGCCACAGTTTTTAGAGCCAGGCGCTGCAGTAGGGCCCAATTCCAATCCGGCCCCTAAAGACCAAGCCCCAACCTCCGGGGGAGACGAGTGAAACCAATGCGGAAGTGCCAAAAACTGCAGTTCACTGACTGTCCACTTGAGGCTGGCTCCGGAAGTGAGTCAATTCCCATAGACCCCCATGTTAAAATGCCCAACTTTAGAGCAGAAATAAACATGTTTACAGCCTGGTACAAAAAATGGTTTTGGTCTCTATAGTTAAGTTCCCCTTTCATGACAACTCTGGGGGGGGATTTTTTTCTAACTCTTCCGTTTAAATGTTATTAAGGTTTGAAATTGCGCATAATTAAGGGCGTGGTCACTTTGAGTGACAGGTCGCACATCACGGGTGGCTAACTAGCATGCTAATTAGCCGCTGGCTCCGCTGCGGAGCTGAGCCTCGACTCGGCCGTCTGCTCGGCGTCATCTCAGCCAATTCGTGCCCATGTTCAAGGCATTGAACCTGTCCTCTCAGCCGTGTTTGTGCCTTTCGGATAATTTCTCAGGCAAATATTGGAGTAATATGGCTTGCTGTTC